CTGCAGCAGCCGTTGGGCCGGGTAGCAGGGTGGGAGCCCAGTCCTTCACCCTCTGCATGTTGCTCTGCCAGCAAAGGCTGCTGGCCGGCGTGAGCAGGGCAGCTCGGAGCCTCCGAGAGCAGGGATTGCCCTGCGTTTTCCACGGCTGGGGCTGGGCCACGCTCTGCTGCTCCCTTCGGGAGCGACGGCCAAGGAAAGGGCCGTGTTCCCGGCTCCCAGCCGGCCCCTTGTGCCGCCCACGAACCTTCCTTCTCTGAACGTTGACTCCCCTTGGATTAGGCCATGGCAGGCAGACTGTGCATTAACTTCCAGTACGGATCCCAAAGCTGTTTTGGGGCGTGGGGGCCTCTGTTGGTCAATGTTGCGTCAACTTCTCCCGCTTGCAGGTTGTGGCACACGGCCTGTGCGAGCGAAGAGGGAGAGGTGATCGTCTTCGGCGGCTGTGCCAACAATTTACTCGCCCACTCGAAAGCTGTGAGTTAACGTGGAGCTTTCCCTTCCAGTGCAGCCCTCCCGGTGCAGCGAGGGGGACGCGGTGCTCGAGGGAGGGCCGGGCCATGGCCCAGACCCCGCTCCCCGGGGAGATGTTGGGCTGCTGCTCTGGAAAGCAGGGCCTTATTCACCACCCCGGGAACCGGCCCTCCTGCCCCATCTGCGGCCCGTGGGCAGCTGTGACGGGTGGGCAGGGACAGGAGGCCATGTAACCCACCCGCCCCTCTCTCCTTCTCCGCCTCCAGGCTCACAGTAACGAAATACTGGTGTTTTCCCTGCAACCACGATCTCTTGTAAGGTAAGAAAGAAAACTTCAAACGGGCTCCGTGTGAGTGACTGGTGCAGGGCGAGGGGCAGAGCTGCCCTCATGTTTTGGTGACGCTGCTGAGCATTCTTCTTCCTTCCAAGAAAGCTAGTGCAGGAAAGAGCTGGTGCGATTCCTTTAATAAAGGCTGATGAGAACAGCTCCACACTCATTAGCTTTAAATAATTGGCTTATCTCGTTGTTCAAAGCTGCGCTCAGCCCTGGCCCCTCTCCTCTCCCCCCAGGCTGTGCCTCGAGGCCGTCATCTGCTTCAAGGAGATGCTGGCCAGTTCCTGGAACTGCCTCCCCAAGCACTTGCTGCACAGCGTCAACCAGCGCTTCGGCAGCAACAACACGTCGGGCTCCTGAGCGCCCGCGCGGGCCGGCCCAGCGACGCCGCGGGATGCAGCCATTCACCCACGGGTGGCAAACATTAAACTGTATAGAGTCAGTAGCATTATTAGCGTAGGTCGTTGCTTTCTGCCTTTTAAGTTGCATGTGAATGGCCTAGAGAGAGAACCTATTTTTGTGTAAAAATGGTTGCAATAAATGTATTTAATGCGAGTGGAGGTGGAGCCCTGCTTAAGCTATAACTAGTTCTGGGTTTGCCCACCTGGAAGGACTTGCGAGGGGCAGCCCCAAGCCTGGAAAGGGGAAAGCCCTGTGCTGGGAGCCCCACGCCGGCCGGAGCGGCTGTGCTGCACGTGCCCAGGCCCAGGTGGATCAGAGCTTCTGCGCAGGGCTACACAGGGCAGCAGTTCTGAGCCTGGCCACGGCCGGGGGAAGGTGGCTGCTGGGCACGTTTGGGCAGCACTGGTTAAGGTCAGGGAATTGGCTTTGAAAATCCTGCATAATCAGAGTAGCTCAACTGTCTTAAACCTTCAGGTGTCAAAGCATCACTAGGGCTTGGTTCTAGTTTGTCTTTTATGTTGTGGAACTTGAATGGTGACCCTTAGAGCAGAGATCCTGCCCTGAGCTGGGGCCGGGGAGGAGCTCGAGGAGCCGCCTGAGCCCCTGCAGCCCCAGGACCTGATCCTGGGACAGGTCCAGGAAAGCGGCTGCAACAGGGTGGGTTCCAGCGCTGCAGCTGCCCGGACCTGCTGCCGGGGGAAGCGGTTAAATCACATTTAAATTGTCCTAAAAATTCAATAAAATCTTTGACTTCTACAAAACACCTCCAGGCCCTTAATTCCTGCGCCGGTTCCTTCTTTATCTTGGGGCTTCGCGGGGAGCTCAGGGTCCTGCTGTTCTGTTCCCACCTGCGGGAATCCCTGGCACAGCAGGATCCTGAGCTCTGGCTCTTCCCTCCTGCATCCTCATCCAGCAGGACAGGAGTCACACAGAGCCTTGGGCCTCGCCTGCGCTGTCCCCAGCACGGCTGAACAAGGGGCAGAGCTTTTAGCTCATGGCAAGGGGCCTCCTTGCCCAACCTACGCAAAAACCCAAGTGCAGTGAAGCGCTTGGTGGAACCTGCCCTGCCCTTAGGAACAAACTCGAGCTGCCCGGGGCTGCTGCAGCAGAAGGGACAGAGTCCTCAGCCCCAGACCTCGAAGCACGAAAGAAAGAGCAGCTCGAGATCACGGCGCTGGCCCAAGGGCAGTAATTTACTTGCTTGTTCTTACGCTGCAAGTGGAGCTGTTGGAGTCCACGAACCCGAGAGGCAGGAGCTGCTCCCCCTGCGCCTGCTCCCCGGAGCGTCGCTGCGGTCCGGCCCGGGGGCGCGCGGCCGCATCGTGGTTGAGCAGTGGTGGTTGGGGACAGGAAATCCGAGTAGCGACTCACTTCTTTTTCCTGTTCAGGAGATTCGGTGCAGACACCTTCACTTTACCAGGAATATTTCTTGACAAGTCGGTATCCTACAAAACAGGAAAAGGTGAGAAATGGCAGGTAACAAACTCGTAAGAACGTCCCCGCGCCCAGCGACTGCTTCTAACTGCGGCCGTGACCGCAGGCGCTTCCTGCTCGGAGCCTGTCTGCGCTTTCCTGCAGAGGAACCGGGGCTGCCGCCGGGCCGCCGCCGGGCCCTGCTGCTGGGCTGTTCCTGCACGGTGGCTCCGACCTGCTCCCTGGTGGTCGTTAACCAGCAACTGGGCGTTTGGAGCAGACTGGACAAAGGCTGCAGCCCGGGGCAGGCTCAGACCCGGCTGCGCAGGAAGCGACGCCGAATCTGACCCGGACACCCAGTTCAGCTGGGCCAAACCCGGACCCTGCCTAGCTGAGCTGCCAGGGCCCTGGTCCTTCCCTGCCAAGGGACTCAGGCAGTGGGAATTTCCCTCCCTCGAGGCCTTTCCCTTTGTCAAAGGTTATTTGTATCAGCAAAGACCTGAGCAGAAACCTGATGCCCAACGACACCAGTCGGGCTGAACTGGAGTGATCCACTCCTGCCCAACTCTACTGAGAAACAAAGGACACGACAAGGAAGCAGGAAGCGACGTGGGTGGCTTTGGACATATTTCCTACGCCCCCCCCCCTCCAAAGCGCCCCCCCCCAAAGTGGTGGCACTAGTGAGCTTTTTTTTTTTTTTTTTTTACAACAAAAAGTTTTTTTTTTTTTTTTTTGGTCACAACAAAGTGTTTTTTTTTTTTTCCCCCCCACTAGAGAAACTTAGTCACCTTCACGCTACGGAACAGGTCTTTTTCTCTTGCAGTAGCTTCTTTAGATTGCATAAAATTATGCAAGGCAATCTTTGCAGCTGCAAAAATAAAGAAGATTCAGCCAGTAGCTAAAAGGGCTCCAGCAGGCAGAGCACAGGAGAGGATTCCAGTGTCCAACATCGTACCTTTTCCCTTCTTCTGGGTGCCTGGAGTGAGCTTGACTTTATACCTTGCAAAAGAAGAGGTTGCTGTGAGTCGTGGGGCAGGTTCCCCCTCGCCACCAACCTCTCCCCCCGGCGCGCTGGGACTCACTTGTAGTTGGCCATGGCCGTGTAGGGGGCACAGATGGGCACGGCGAAGAGCAGCAGGTCCTCGGGGTGCGGCTGCCCCGTGAGGGAGCCCAGCAGGGCCTGCCCGTGCTGCGGGGAGCAGCGGGGTGAGCGGAGCCGCCCGGGCCCGGGGACACCCTCCACGCGGCCGCAAGGGCCACCCCGAGCCCCCGGCACCTGCTTCGCTCACACTCAACCACCCCGGGCTGGCGCCTGGCCAGCGAACGCGTCACTTGGATCACTGATGTCACATCGCTCAAAACGGGCTGGATCTTACGTTTTAGCTGGACCAAAACTGACCTCCAAATCCAGCTGCATCCTCACAGCAGGACCAAAGCCCCCCCCGCCCCAGACAGCTGTTAAACTCCTTCATTAAAGGAGTTAAAGAAATTCACTAGTTTTCAGCTGCAGTCTACACCCACAGGCTGTAGTTATGCAAAACTATTGGAGCAATTTTGCAAATAAATGAATTTCTAAACTTCCAAAAACAACCTCTCAGTGCATTATCTTGTGTCCTGCTCCTCCAGCCCAGGGTCACCATTGCTGCAGGATGCGAAGACCTCATCAGGCAAAGACAAGGGCCAAGCTTCCATGCAGCCAACCCCTGGCTGTTAGAGGGGAGATATGTGTTAAGCAGGGGATGAGAAAAATCGAAGTTTCATTTCTCAAAATACAAGTAACCTGGGTTGATCAGGCAAGAAGGCTGACGTGGGACAGCAACGTCGTGCTCAACACGGAACCATGGAATGGCTGAGGTTGGCAGGGACCTCTAGGGATCATCCAGTCCAGCCCCTGCTCCAGCAGGGACACCCAGAGCACGGGGTGGCATCCAGGTGGGTTGGAAGATCTCCAGAGAAGGAGCCTCCACAGCCTCTCTGGGCAGCCTGTCCCCTTCCCTCATCCCCTCCCCGCGTGTCGAGGCCGAGCGCGTTTACCTCAGAGCCCGGCTGGTCCTGGTCTTGCTCCTCCTGTGCATACAACAAAGAAAGGAGCCTCAGAGAGGAAACGGGTGCCCGGCTACTTTTGTTCCCTAGAGAGGCTGGACCCTTTGACCAGTGGTCCCCGGACAGCCGCACGCTGCAGAAACGCCCCTCACTTTCAGGTGGGAGCCCCTGGCCGGGGGCACCCCCCGCC